AGTTAGAATGCCTGCTTTGGGGTCCCTGGCTCACCTCTTGTTCATTGTGTAAATCACTTAACTTTTTTCTGTCTTGCTTTCCTAGTTATGAAATGGAGATTATAATTGTAGATATCACCAAGGATTATAGTGACAATTAAATGTTAAACATAAAAAACCCTAGAACAGTGCCTGGAATATGGTAAGAACTCAATAAGTATTGGCTACTATCTCTTTAAGAAAGAATAATACAATATTTTTCACTCAAAGCAGGAGTTCTAACACCCCCTACAGCCAGTTCTAATACTCTTATTTTATTTTATGTTTGTATTTTTTATATTTATAATATTCCTATTTTATTTTCTCACATAAGCTCTACTGGCAGAATAATTAGATAATCAACAGCTTATAAATGATATTAAATATCAGTTCCCATCTAATAATAATATGGAATTTAGAACATAATTATTTCATATTTCTAAGGAACATTAATTTTAAGTGTACCTTCTGCCTTATATAAACTTACAGAGAAATTAATGGAATTTATGTTTCATTTCCCATCTAATTATTTTATCCTGGTTTCTAATAATCATTTCCCCATAAATATTTTTTTAATGGTAGCCAAAGAAAAATTTGTCGGATAGTAGAAGATGGGGCTGATTTGCTCTTTGTTGCCCTAGAATAAGATGAAGATGGATGAGAGCACGTCCTACAAATGGATAGATCCGACCTACAATTAGAGTCCTTCTATAACAAAGAGTGGTTGAATAACAGAGAAGGCTATCTGCACAATGGTGAGTGCAGCCCGTAGGATATATTCAAGAAGAGGCTAGGATGTGCTTCTCTCAAGGCCTCAAGAAGAATTAGTCTAGCAGACATCAGATACCTCTTTCAAGTTCATTATCAAATTATTAAAGATTAACAAACGTGAAAAAATAATTAAAAAATAAAACTGATGATTTATCAGGGTGGCAATTTAAATTAAAAATAATAATTTTTTAAATTTTAAAAAATTTAAAATTTTTTAATTTAAATTTAAAATTAAAAAAAAATAAAACTGATGATTTATCAGAGTGGCAAGTTTAAATTTTTAAAAAAATAAAACTGATGATTTATCAGAGTGGCAATTTTAAGACAATGACAACAGTCAGCGCTGGTTCAGAGACAGCCATTTCTATATACTGCTGGTGGTGGAGTCTTCACACCATTGGGATGGCAATTTAGCAAGATTCAGAGGCCTTTAAAACTTTGACTCAGCAACTCCAATTCAAAGAATTTATTGTAATGATGAATTCAGTCAGGTACTCTTAACACGTGTGCATGAAGGTATTTCAATAAATGTTTCTCAGTTAAAATTTGTAAACAGCGTAAATATTTTAAAAGAAGAGAATGTTTAAAAAGCTACGTGATAAATTCCTAAGAGGTCATTTCGAGTACTGATGTCTGTAGATACTCATATTAAGTAACTCGGAAGTGTACTGGCTGTATGTTTTTAAGTAGTAAAACAGGTTATAAACTGTGTGTATTATATCCTCACGTTTATAAAATGTATATTTGTTTATTTGTATACGCATGCTCAGAACAAGACCTGAAGAGTGAAATGCCTAAGTGTTATTGGTGGTTTTGCTGCTAATGATTTCTTCTCATCTTTTTCTTCTTGCTTGTTTGTATTTGTAATTTTTCTCCTAATGAACATGTACTATTTTCATAATAAAGAAATACTCTAAGGTTATATTGTCTAAATTATTCATTCTATCTACAATTTTTCTAGATTACAATAATTTTGTGTTAATCCAGAAACCAAATATTGCCATAGGTTAAGAAAAATGCATGTCCACTGTGGTTTTTGTTCCCCCATTTACTTTTTTCAGTTATTTCTTTTTTTCCCCACTTTCTAGTGGTAATATGACTTTTGCAGAACCTACAGAAGGAGAAAAATCTATTTCTTTGTGTCAATTTTTAACTCAGCATTAGGACTTCCTATTTTCTCTTAAATTCTATATTCATCTGCATATCCCCAGGACTTAAATTGAAGACGACATTTTACCACCTACCTACTTCTCACACACAATACTATAAAATACCTTAAACACTATGAAAACCTGGTATTTATGTATAAGACAGAACATCATAAATGCCAAGCTTTTATCCTGGAAAGAGAATCTTAGGAGTTAAGGTGAGAACATGGCTTTAAATTATTAAACTTTTCCTTCATTTTTCATGTTTCTTTCATTTTCTATTGGCTTTTTTCTTTCTTCATCTCTATCTTTCTTACTCTTCCTCCCCCTCCATTTAAACATCCCTCCACCCGAATACACACACCAAATGTGCTTTTCCCCTTTTAGTCTCTCCAAATTCTTTCACATATTTACTTTTCTTTCATACTTTTGCATATGGACAAGAACTGGCATGATTTTCTCCTTGGATTTCCTAATCTGATTAGAAATAGGGCACATTCTTCAGAATAATATTTTCTTAGGGAAAAGGTGATCTGTAATCTCTTCAGTACTGGATGGAGGCCACAAGAGACATTCTACATCTGACAATTGTATTTCATTTGTAGGTTTTCTCCATAGGATTCATGGACATGTTTCTGGGAGAAGTGAGGGCTGTACCTGCCAAGTCAATTCTGAGGATACGTTTTTAACCTTTTCCTTTCAAATAGTTCAAAAATTCCAAAATGATATTATTCCCTTCTATCTCATTATTACAGTCTTAAAATTTATTTCAATTCACTCATTTGAATTAAAGGCAGAAATTTTAAATATCACAGGTATTTTGGGATGTGTTGTCACTTGAAAAGATGTGGTATAAACAGAGATAACTTTGCTTTTTACTGCCGGAAACATCTCCCAAGGCCCACAGAAATGTATAACGAAGGTGAGATGATCACTCTGCTGTAGTCTTATTTCCTCTGGCAGAATGCAAAGCTCTAGTTTTAAGAGAAATCTGTGAAGTTAGGAACGTATACATCAGCACTAATTTTCAGAAGACAAGTAAAGTGTCATGGAACAATAGGAAATGAAATAAGATGGATAGAAGTCAGGAAAGAAGTCAACAGTTTAAAGTGCCAATTTTTAAATCTAAGGAAAGGCTAATTTAAAAAAAAAGAATAACTGAGATTGTCATAAGTAATGGGAACTTAATATCTTGGCTGAAATACTCAAACAGGAATCTGTGACACTTGCATTCACTCTTCTAGGAGTGTCACAGGAAGAGAAACAATGATCAATCTGTGTTACCCTGGGGTAACTTTATCTCCTGATCTGTACAATTGAGTTGGGTGACTGGGTGGGGGCATTTTATTGTACACCAAGTCTTTCCATTCTCAGCCCTCTATTCTCGTACAGGATCGGTCATGCTGTATTTCTAAACTGAAAGATTCTTCTGCCTGAAAGTAAAATGCCACTTGACATTTCAGCAAGCCATAATTCAAGGAAATGGAAGAACAAATACCAAAAGGTAACTTAGTGTAACAGGATGTTTAAAGGGGAATTTTTTTTTCTCTCCTACCTCGTCATCAGAGGTCCAAAATGTTTGAAAGCAAAATAATTAATTAATTAAGAGGTAAAATGTATTCCCACATTCCAAAGTGAGGTGCTAGATCGATTCCTTGTGCAGGCCCACTTTGTCAAGGAGGTAGCATCTTGTGATACTCAGGCCAACCACCACTCTAGGATAGAAACAGACTAAGGATGCAGCAATCCTAAGAGAGGACTGTACTGGAGAGAGTCGTAGGTGTGCACTGAGAACCACTCCCACGGGAGAGGAGGAATGCTTCCCCCTCAGTTCTAGCTCCTGTTCACATAAACCAGGCAAAGAGTTTAACACATGCCCCCTGGGGTAACCATTAGAGGGACACAGTGAACCAATGACTCATTAATATCTGAAAAAGTCTACTGTGGTTGAAAGTACCCCAGTGAGAGGAGGAGAAGGGGTAGCTGTGGAGCAGTTGGTGTGGCAAGGACGTGTGAGCTTCCTATTGGTCAAGCAGAAGTTAACCCAAGAGAAGCTGTGCAAGAGGCGAGGCTGCCAGTGTGAGGAGACTGGAACAGAAAAACCCCAACTGGTGGGTTTGAGCCCCAAGAGTTTAGCCAAAGAGTGCATTAATTTAGAAAGGTGCAATGCAGAGGTCTCTGCCTGGTGTCATCAGAGAACCCTCAACTGTACTCCCTTAATGTAAACTATGGACTTTAGTTAACAATAAAGTATCAATATTGGTTCATCAATCATAACAAATGTACCACACTAATGTTTGACACTGTGTGGGATAGGCGTGGGGTATGTAGGAATTCTCTGTGCTTTCTATGCAATTTTTCTGTAGACCTTAAAAAAAGTAATATAGGCACACGGTAATAAAAATGCCAATTGTATCAACGAAAATACAATGAACAAAATCGTTTTCTCAAAAGATTGTTTAATATGAAAGGTGAAATTATGAGAGCATGAGTTAGCAAGAATATGGGAAACAAAAGAAACAATTAAAACTGCCTGGCATTAGAGTTAGAGGAATGTAAGAATGGGATCCATCAGAGTGGCATGAAAAGAAGAAATGGCTGAACAGGAAGGAAAGGCTAGAAGTCATAAAAGGAGAGTGATATCCAATATTCAAAGTCAAGCTCTTTGAACTTCTGACATATATACCTCTGTGTGCCTTACCAAAACCAGGAGTAAAATCTGACATACATTCTAAGATGGACAGGTAACTAGCTAGGTAGATACATACATACACATATACACACATATATTGCTTTTAAAGAAAGGGGTTAATTTCCAAAATTAGGTTGATAATGGAGTAGAAACAAGAGACTGGAAGACACAGAACAGAAGTCAAGCATTCAACAGAGACAAGAAGTAAGAAACAGATATCACCCTGAGAACATACGTTCTCCCGTTGCTATAGACACATACCTACCAATAACATAAATGTTAGCAAAATCTTGAAGTAGTCATTGAACATTCCACAAAGCACAGAAGGAATTTAGGGTCAATTTTACTCTTTACAGGTAAGATGTACTTACTTGTATGTTGACTCTTTGTTTTTCTTATCAAGTAGAGAATGTTTTGATGGGTCTAACCATGATTCCTCCTTAGAAAGCAAAGGAATTTCCTTTATGCTTTTCTCTTGAATCTTATCTTCCATTAAATTAGTATTTCTTTTAGGAAAGGAAAAACAGTTCTCAAGTCGCCAATGCTTTGCCTGAAAAAACAGAGATTTACTTTTATAAAATGTATTTTCCTTGAACATTTATATGTGTCTAACATGTGCTAGATTATTAATTGAAGTCCTGGGGACACCAGAAATGAAGATGATATGGTTCCTGAACTCAAGGAGCTTACAGTCTTCTAAGGGAGATGGGACATATACATGTAACTTTAATAAAGTTAGAAAGTGATGTATCATAAGAAACAAACAGATATTTTCTGAAGAGATAATAATGAACTGCTAAAAAGAAATTAACATTCCCACTTTAAAATCCTGTATAGCAAGATGTATATTAACTAAAAAGAAAAACAAAGCTTTGGTCGAAGAACTGTCTGAATTTTTCATACTACTACTTTCTTTGCATCTTCCCCTCCCAAAATCTCAAAAGCCAGTCCAATTACTGAGTACTTTTTCCTAGAAAAATATATGTGTTACATGATAATTTTCGCAGATCTTGGCTACCGCTCTTAATGTGTATCCATCTAGTGAGAGCTCCCCATTGACAATTTATGTTTTAAATACAGAAGCAATTTCCTTGTTTTCTATTTGTTCACACTGTATCCACAGGAACGCAGCAGGGAACAGAGCCTGTGTGATATGAGGGAACGTTAGGGATCCCCAGCATATCTGACTGGCCTATGAATGATCAACCTTTGTCAGAGGATTTACAAAGTACAATGCCTACAGGGGTCAGGAAGGCAGTGTCAATGAATAAATCAAGTCTCGTATAAGATGATAAATAGCAAATGAAAGTCAGCCTCAGTGTTCATAGGCAAAAGGGAAAGAAAGGTGGCATTACACTGACTTAGAGGGAACCCATTTTCCATAAAGGGGGCCACAGCTACTCTCAGGGAATGACATGTTCTTTTCCAAGAGAAGCAAGAAATTTGGATATTATATGAAACCTCTTAATGTTTAAACATGGGCAACTAAATCAAATTTTAAACACTGGGTGAATAGGCTCCATCAAAGTCACTGGCCATCAAAGCAATCAGCTGAGGAGGGGTGCCAGTACACACTCTGCCCAACACAACAGTGGTCAGTGCTGAGATGGACACTGAAGAAGCACAAGCGTCATCTAATTTCTTTTTATACCACAATCATCTGACAGTTTCTTGGGATAAGTGTATCTCCACAGATAAACCATCCCTACCCCTATCTCTCCAACTCTAGAAATAGACATAGCACATCACATACTTTTAAAAATCTAACTTGAAAACCAACCTCAGGTCAATAGCTATGTTATAAAACTGATTCACAGTTATTAAAAAAAAAACTTCTTTTTTGAAATATACTGAATCACACTGCATTAAATTTTGAATACTTTAATCAGACTGAATGTGATTGGAAAATGAAGCCTTAGTGTAAGAAATTAAAATACACGATTGCTTTTCCTTTTGTTTTTATAACTGCTAGAACAGAATTAATTCCACGAAAAGACAAATGCAACATTCAAATGTAGGTCAAAAGTCACTACACTGTACAAATCAAGCTGGTTCAGGAAAAATTGCTCTGATCCGAGCTATATTTAAGAATTGAGTCTCTTCTTATCTCTGTATTTCCGTCTGCCTCCCATATCTTTCTGTTCTTTCTGTGAAAGGGTGTCTCTTCTCACACTATGAGAAGGACATTCACTGTTGCTTTTTTCCAGTATCTGCTAATTTTCTCTCTTTCTTCCTCCCCTGCTCTCCATTGCCCTCCCCTCCCACGGCCTCCTGTGGCCCTTGGAACTAGCGGCACCCATATCCAAGACAGCTTGACAAAAGTGAGTTCTTAAAAAACATTTAAAGCTCAAGCAGAAGGGACTAGAAAACCCAGCTGTCCCCCGCTTTGCCCGCCTTTACTTTCTAAAACTACCCAGCTCTGGTGGCTCTTTTCCTATCTCGAACAGAAGGGAAAAAAACCAAACTATTTTCACGCAGGCTTTCTGAGGCTGAGTCCTTTGAAATACAAAAGCAGAGATGTGGATGGACCTAGAGGCTGTCATACAGAGTGAAGTAAGTCAGAAAGAGAAAAACAAATATCGTATATTAACGCATATACATGGAACCCAGAAAAATGGTACAGAAGAACCAGTGTGCAGGGCAGAAATAGAGACACAGATGTAGAGAACAAACATATGGACACCAAGAGGGGAAAGTGGCAGGGGCGGGGGGCAGTGGTGGGATGAATTGGGAGATTTTGATTGATATATATACACTAATATATATAAAATGGATAACGAATATGTGACGACCTATATACATGATGAAGTTCATCAATTTCATCAAATAGCTGATTTTACTGTTGATTTTTTTTCTTTCCATCCTCCCCCTCCCCTCCTTCCTTTCTTCCCACTTCTCAAGTTAGTTAAATCAGTTAGAAACCTTTTTTTGAACGTTCATACGATTTTCCTAACCTCTGTTACCATGAGCTGTTCTTTTGCATTTGTATCACAGATTGCTGTTCCCAAATGTACCTTTTTCAATTTCCGTATCAGACTTTAAAAAAAAGTGTTACATCACTGCAATCATTTAATATTTGCACATTTTAGAATTCTGGCATTTCTGTTCATTCAGGAGTACTGTCTTAATTCCAGTAAGAACAAACTCACAGAAGCCCCAACTCTGAAAAGATCGTTCCGACCTCACCTCATGAAGACTGGATAATTTCCGTAGAGATGTGTGAGCCGGGTGGCCGCTTACTGGTTCTCTCCGCCTCTGAAGACTGCAGCATTTGTGTGACTGTTGTCTGTGGTGCTCCTGTCCAGATCTTTGGTCAGGTAGAAATATCATTTTCTTATTATTCTAATATTTACTTGACTAATTTACTTGATTAAATTTATTTATTATGAGCTAGGCCTGATTTCCATTTGAATCTCATCGGCCATTCAAGTTCATTAGTCATGAAAGAACTGACTTCCATTTCTGGAACTGTAGCTCCAGGCCTTCCTTATTAACCAAGGCAGTTCCATCAAGTGGAGGACACTGGAGACATGAAAAGTTTGGGGCCTCAACGCAGCTCAAAATGTACCAGGATTTCTGAGAAAAATTTCTCCTCCAAAATAAGTGGATCCCTTCAATTTCAAAATTTAGTAGAAACACACTACAATGTGGATGGATTTACTGCATTATTATCAAACAGATGACTATGACAGCCAAGTAATAATCAGGTAATAATCAAATATAGAAAATTTTAGGAAAAAACCAAACTCTTCTGTTCATTGTCTGATTTATTCCTGCCTAAATAACAATTGCTAATGTTTGCTGAGTTTCTCCTGTCCTAAGGTCTCTACATGAATAATTCCATGTAATCTTCACAATTGCCCATCCCATGAGGGATGAATGCTCATTATTCCTATTTTATAGATGAGGAAACAGAGGCACAGAGAGTTTGAATAAATTGCCTGAGCTCACAGAAGCTAATAAGTGGTAGAGTTTGGCGTTTGACTCAAGCTGGCTCATTTCAGAGCTCATGCTTTTAACCCCTTCCTCCCATGAAACTAAGCTGTGATTTATACCTGCTTATAAAAAAATAGAAGAAAGAAAATATTTATTGTCTCACATTTCTTTCCTTTTTTCCATTTATTTTCATGGGAACTCAGCTCCTGTTCCCTTTGTACTTTGGGGGACAAAATATCATCCCGATCTGATTCAACCAGCACTGTTCAGACATGGTGGTCTGAGCATAGCCTGGAACCTCAGTTTCTATCTGGCCAGTTAACATGGTCCTATTCAGCAGCCTCAGGTGCCACTCTCATGCCCTGAGTATGGCGATTCTCTTCATGCTGGAAGACGAAGTCTGTTGTTGCTCCCTTTGTGAAGTCGGCTTGAGGATATCAACCTGTGCTGACAGAATTCCGTACAGCCCTTTAGGACACGGAGGGTGATGGTAAATCAGAAAATGATGGTAAATTGTGCAGGTAGACCGTTTTGGGCCGGGTAATGCGGAAGTCTCCAAGAGCTGTACAGCCTCTTCTGCTCTGTAAATAAGGCAAGTGCTAGACTCTTCTCAGGAAAAAGAGTGTCTGGGTGGGAACTCAAATCGGTGTGTGGGCAGGTGTGATGAGACAGCGTGGGGCAACGCTGGCATTCTGAACATGAAAGGAGTTGAAAAGCTGCTTCTGGCAGTTGGAGAAGTTAATGCAATGCTGACATTGCTATATGGCCATGCCACATGGGCTCTGGTGAGATGAGGTGCAAAAAAAAAAGAGTGCCTTCAAGCGGCTGTTGTCTGGAGTATAAGTCCTTTAGATGGTGCTGAAGCAAGAAATAGGGCTGTTCCAGGTATGGGTGCCATATAAACTGTGTCCACCAAACACAATCTGTACTGCAATTTTATTTTAATTAAGAAATATGTGCTAGTAAAACTGTTCATTTTATACCTTTGATAGTTTTCCTTAGTTATTTCGTAAAGCCTTTTTTTTGTATAAAATACAAAAAATACTACTATTTTATAGTATTATTAGAAAATTGAGCAGGTAATCAGTGACACAAAAATCCCAAACTAACTCAGGATGACAGTAATGTTAGATGAAAGGCCAGGACTCTATTTAAATTATGTTTACGGTCTCATTTCAAATAAGGCATATCTTAACTGTTTATTCTCAAACAATGCATGGTATATTACTGACAATACTGCATTCCTAAATTGGAGGATTGATTTGACGATATATTAACAGAGGATTTTCAATATTGAGAAAAATCTGTTTTTCCCCATGAATTATTTAAAAGAAGTCTGATCAATACATATGTTTTCTTTAAAATACTCAGATTGATCGTGTCTTCCTTTATCTAGAAAACAGACAAGACCTGATTCATAGTTATCTGCAACAAAAGGCAGTCAAAAATTATAAAGAGATAATGTTAGAATTTTTTCAATGTACCTCTGTATTCCAGATTTTCAACCACCCCTCAAGATCTCCTGCGGCGAGGTATCAATTTGACTTATCAGTAGACACAATAATGGAACCAACAACGCTATGAGCCAAAAATTCAGCCAGAAGGTGCTTCTTAAATGTATCCCAGAATCTGACATACCCAGATCCTCCACATGACACCAGGTTGGCTCCCCCTAATATGTAAGAGAACCTCTAATTAGGAAACTACAAACACAAGAAACAACTTCCTCACTGGTTTGCCCTGTAGAAAGCATATGGATGTTGGAGAGGTGAATAGCCCCAAAATCAACTTCCAGCACTCTGATTCTCTCAAATATAAACTGGAAAAAACCCTATGATACATTCACTGGTTTTTGTTGAATATTAAATGAGATAAGATGTGTAAGATGTTCCATTAAATCTAGTTACCACTCCTTCGTTCATTGTTTTGATATTATTTGGGTTTTTAAATTTTGATAGAAGCAATCTGTTACTTCAAATAAACTTACAAAATACTAATTTCAACATTATAATAATATTTCAATTACGTAAAACACATCTTTCTTAATTACCCGTTGGACACATATACCAAAGAAGTAAAATTCCTCTTGCACAGAGCTGGATACGTATATGTAGTTATAGCAGCATAGCTATTGATTCCTCTATGTAGCTGTATGCTTTGAATTCTACTTATGAGCTTGTTTTTTAATCTTTCATCAAGAATTCATTGTAAGTCCTTATGGAACACTTTCTTGGTTCATAGGCCTAGAACTAACCTTTTCATTTTCCATTTTTATAGGCTTGTAGAAGCACTTTACCTAAATTATTCTTCTGTGGCAAAGTTCCTATTATTATTTGATAAATCTGTAGACTTCCAATTTGCTTCACAAATGTGCTGCCTATTAACAATCATATCTGTTTAAGGTAGAAATAATGGTATGTAGCCGCTTCAGTGGAAACAATTTGGGAATACTGATAACAGTAAGAAGAATTAGTGTTGAGAGCAATTTCAGGATAATAGTTCATTTTGTAAGTATAAGTGCGTCCTGGAAAATAGAGCGTTTTAGAATCTGTTTCAAGGCCTATCTTAAATATTTTGCAATGGTTCTAAAACTCTATAGGGGTATACCTTTATTGACTTTTAATGCAGAAAAATTATATAAGAAAATCATGCAGATTTTCCGTCTGCAAATTGAATATGAGAGAGTGAATGTGGAAAACATGGTTCAGATTTCTTTTTTCAATCATATAACATATATATGTCTAGATTCCTATTGTTGAGGAAAAATATTTCTAAAATTAAAAAATTACTTTTTTAGGTGAAAGGTCAAAACTACGCATTGTTCTCAGGAGCAGATTTTTACTCTGGGAGCATGTAGGCTGCATCAACACCACACTAACACAGCCATTGAAGACAAAGGGGAAATTAAGCAAATAGTTATTCAATCTATTATAATATCAAATAACTATGGTAAATCATACGTTAGCATACATCTTAGAAGAAGCTCTAACCAGAACTCTGACTTATTCTGGAAAGGATTCGTAGTTGGTAAAGACACCCAAAGCATTACCCATAGCCCCACACCAAAAAAATGAAGACAAAGAGCAGGCAGCTCTCTCGACCTGGGATAGCAGTTAGCAGCGGCTATTTCAAATTTTGCTATTGCCCCCAATCTCCAAGTTTCTCACTATTTTCTCATAGCCCACTTTGATAATAAGTGCCAGTGTGGTCATCTCAAGACTCAACCCTTCTACCCCATGCAGACCTAAGCTTTGGCTCATATATTTGGAGCATATTTCTTGCTGTGCCCTCTACCCTACCAAATCTCTATGCCATGGCTACAACACCAATTCTGATTGTTGCCCAGAGTTTTTCCTCGCTCTGATCCTGACATACACAGCACTGTATAAATTGCTTCTGGGGTCTGGTCTAGCTCCTGTTCTGGACCCATCCTCCTGAATCCTAACCTCGTCTGCCACGCCCTGTGGCTTCTTGTGACCTGGTGCTGACTGTTCGCTAGATGCAGTCAAACTCTACAAGACCTAGATCGGATTAGATTGAACTTTCTTTATTGTTCCCTGCTCCGACACTTTACAATATATCAAAGCAGTCTACGGTCAAAATATAAATATATATTTTACCTGTGGCTGCAATGTTTTTTCTTGCTTCAAGGAAGCAAAGCCTTATAACAGCTTTATTGCACTCAGTGTCTGTCTCAAAGGAACAGGCTCCCAGAGTAGCCTGGTCAGACGTGGGGTGGGTGAAGCAGCTCCTCCCGGCACCAGGAAGCTTTTGAGGCTCTCTATCTGAGATGGAGAGAAGCCAGGTGTCTTAAATGAAGAGACATATGCTTTTCAAACAAAACACTTATGAAAAACAATAGGCTCACCCCCATCACAGCCTCCAAAGACTCCAGCAAATCTCACAATATGTTTCCAGTCAACATCTACGGAGCCTTGTGCTGTTCACTTCCTCAACCCCGACTACAAGGATTGCTTGATTCCATTTTTATTTCTCATGCTCCGTACAAGCTTACTGTGTTTTCCCTTGATGTGAATTAATAGGGACTTCATTTTATAGTCCCTGCTAACACCTTAGAGATCCTGATATGTTCAAGACAAATGTGATTTTAATATCATGGCATTTTCAACTTATTAATCATTAATATTAAGCTTGCAAATAATGTAATGAACATGAGATACGACTATGTAATGTATTTCAATGATCATTCTTAAGCAATATTATTTTAGTGAGTTACCCTGGAAAGGATATTCCTAATGGTGCTTCAATGATCTAATGATATCATCTCCAAGCCACACTAATAAAAACTGGGGATATTCATCTCAGAATCTATAAACAGTCTGCACACAGTTATGAAAAACCTATACAGAG